AAATGGATTCAATTATTCAAGAATTTTCAATAGAAAGACATTGGTGTACCTAATCTGGCAAAAGTTATTGAATACCTTTAGTGTTTGCCAGGAACATCTGCACCAGTAGAGCGCATTTTTTTAATCATGAAAAATATTTGTTCAGATGACCGAGGTCTTTTGAAGGAGTTCATGTGCATTGCTGTACTGCAAGTTGAACTTTAGCATTACATGCTCACTTTTTTATGAGAAAAATTTAAAAAATTTTAACTTGTTAGAAAAAGTTCATTCTACTGAAAAGTATAACTCATATAAAAACAGTGAATAGTTTTTTTCTCATATTTCTTTTGTTAGATTTAACAAATAATATAAAAATATTTTCGTGTCTTTTATTTGCTTTAGATCCTTTCAGCTGGTGAGCAATGGAGGTCTTCCTTTTATCTATAAAGAGTTTCATGAAACCTAATTAAAGGGTACCATGTTTTTTGAAGCACAAAAAGCACTATTTTTCTCCACCTCCTATCTCGCTGGTAATTTATTTCAACATTTTGCAATATCCCTTTCCCCCCTACACACACATATACACCAATACCTCTTTCTTAACAACGCCCCCCCCCCCCCTATGCCGCCGCAACTTCTGCGTGTATTATATATATTTGCCATACATGGCTCGCTGTGAGACTGATATTGGTTTATCCTTTATAAGTCTTTTTAAATAAATTGAATGCAAAAAAGTTTGATTGTAAAGAAATAAAATATTTTCAATTGTTCGATTTTGTTCATTACCATACAGAATGCCTTGAATGTTAAACATTGTTAGTAAAACATTGTAGGCTCCTAAATCAATTTTACCTTTCAATGTAAAAACTAATTTACTTAAACTTTTGCGATAGTCAACCCCACGTTTACAATCTTTGTTGTCAAAGGATAAATTCAACATTTCCTTAAACAATTTTTTTCAATTTTATTCAAATGAGAACCGATTTCTTCATAAAGATTAGATGTGTGACCTTTCACATCATGCAATGGTTCACACGGCAAAATTTTATAATTACTCAAATATAATTTTTCTAGGTCATTAAAATACTCATTACACAGTAAGGTTGGTAATCGCTGTATGCCATGCATTTCATTATCAAGTTTTTTTTTAAGAATTTTTTTGGAAGATTTATATTGAAAATGTATTCCTTGTTCATTAAGTTCATCGATTATTTCATGTTTCTGTAAGTTTTTGTACAGCTTCGTTTGATGTTTACTTATTTTATCTCTACTTGTTTGAGTAAGCATGAGTTTTTTTACTCTATTTTCTATGCTTAACAGAGGTTGATAGAATGAATGAGCTATATCACTAGAACAATGTATGTTAACTGGACAGGCGCAACAAGGATAATCACCTCCCTTTTGCTGTCCAATCTCAAACTGACAGGCAGGTGCATTGCCATGAAAAAAATGCATTATATCATTAATTTTTTCTCCATTTATGTCAAAAGACTCTCCTAAAAGTCTATTGTCTTCATTTCTGGTATTTATGTACATAAGTTATTTATACCAATAGTATATTCACCAATAGTATATTTTCTTTTAGAGACTTTCTCTTTCATATTCAACTTTACTTTTTTCATTGTTGGTTCAGCAGGTACACTAATATCTGGTGCATGTATTTTCTTTTTACATCTTCTTATAATTGTATTTCCTTGGCCTTTATATTAAAAAAACTAAAATCAACACCTTTATTCAATAGAAACTGTTTTATTTCACCTCCATTTTTAGCTATTACTCCATTACTGTTAATGACACTGTATTTTTGTGCTAGTTCAGTAAAATTAATTTTTGTGCCAGACACATAAGAGATTACTTCCCTCCAACAATCGTTTTCATTCCATTTATTTTTGTAGTTTCCATTAGGTTTTTTTTTTTTTGTGATTTTTATTTTTATTACGAATTGTTGAATCTGCAAACGATTCAAAGCTTTGATTCATACTTATTTTTTTACTCTTCCTCAAAGATATCTCGGTCCCAAATGCCCTATAAATTAAGTCAATTTGAATCTATTAAACAATTTTAAATAAAATTAAATTTAAACTTTTTTCAAAATTATGTACCTTACAACTGATGTTTCTTCAAAGCATTTTTCAACACTGCATTTGAATAATCTTGCACGTGTATTTCGTATTTTTTTTGTGTTCGTTCTTGATGGTTTCTGAATTAAATTTGAATCGACTATGAGAGGTATTGCATTTTTTATTGACATAAAAGAGTAATGTTTTTGAAATTTTTCATCAGGTTCTTTTAATAAAGAACTTGCACATTTTATTAAACTTTCTTTGTTTTTAATTTCAGTGAACAAGAGATAACTAGCTTTTTTTTTATAAAGTTTGGTATTAGTTGGGATTATAGACAATATATCTCCATAAAGTTTAACACATTTTTGGCAGTTGGAGAACCTATGTAGACTTTTTTCTTTAAAACTAAGTTTATTCCATGCGTTTAAAGAGAATGTGTCGATCAATTTCTTTTTTTTTGCACAATGTCGTTTAGACAGATAGCATATTTTTGCTTTAATTTTAGGAAAATTTCGACGATGGATGTCATGAGAGATAGCAAATTTATTTTTTTGACAGCCGAATATAGAATTATAATGATCAATTCTTTGGAGTAGAGAAAACTTTGACATAAGCAGGTTATATACGATTACTTTAACGTAACCACATGATAATGGATTTATTATAGACATAGTAATGATCTATAATAAAATTAAAAGAGTAGAGATTAAAATGTTTTTTTTAACAAGTAACACTTTACAGTCAGTACATATAACAACTTTTCTAAATCAATTACAAAAATGTTTAGAGTTTTCTGCTGTTTTGAAAACGAAACTAGCTAGAATAATGTTTTTAAAGTTTACCGCAATAAAGGAATAAATTATTTTTTAAGATGGCCAAATAAGTCCGAGTATTTCAAAATGTGATAATAAATACCGACAAGTCTTTTAAATGGGGCTAAAAGTTGTATTAATTTAAGTAAAAACGACTTCTGTATAAAGAACTGCAATACCATGATGTATCTAAATCTAACGTGATATTGTTGTTAAAATTACTCACTAAGGTGTGGTATTAAAAATAATAATTTCAACTTTTATAAAAAAACGGTTTTTCATAGATATTTACCCGAAAAAATAGTCTGATCATAAATGTCACGTCACATTAGGTGAAAATAAACACCGATACGTGCTTTTACGAAAAAATTGATTTCAAAGATATATGCCAAGTCCCATGGTATTTTGTGTTAAAGTTTTTATCTTTTCTAAAGAGAACTGCGCTTGCCAGTTTATTAGAATCGCATTACTTTTACTAGATTATGACAGAGGTTAAAAAAAACTTTTCCAACGATACCAAACATGTTATACTTTTTTATTAAAGTTTTTATATATTTTGCAATTGAAAAAAACGTATATTTATAGTAGGAAAATCGTGTACCATACCTTAGTTACATTGAGTAGCAATTAGCGATTGCAAAACAAGCGATTCCCTTTTCCTGATAACGAAAGTATTCCCTTAAGAGAATTCCGCACGAGGAATTCTCGCTTAAAAGCCAATGCGTTGAATTTAGTGACGGTTGAAGTTTCGACGCGAAACTATACGGAGATTTATATTTGAACTAGTTGTGATAATTTATTATGAAAAATATTAAATAAATATTAAGTAAAAACCATAGTTGAATTCTCTTCATAATAAATATAAAGGCAAAACATTAGAGGTTTGCCACTAACAACCAATAAGATTTGTTTAAAAATATTGCCCTTTTTTTTACGAGTTTTTTTTGTTCTGTGCCTTAGTTGCGTAGAGACATTTGTATGTAGAATACTAATTTTTTATTTAATTTAAAATTATTTAATTGGTTTAATGGTTATTCTTTAAGAAAAAAACAGACTTTTTAATCCTGTCCAGATTGAGTAACAACCAATGGTGTTATGCGTACGCATTTCGAAGCAGGGTTGACTATTTCTGTATATAAACTAAATTCCTAAAGTTTTTTTCCAAGACAGTTAGAAATGTTTAATAATCTTATGTAATAATAATTATATTATAATTTATGTTTAAATCAATCATATAGTGTGAATCAAGTTTTTAAAGATTATGTTGTTAAATAAGAAAATGAAATTATTTTTGCCTAAATTTTTGTTTAGTTAAAATACAATTACAAAAAGGAAAACACTTTTTTAAATGTGTTATAAATTTGTAAAGGAATGTTTTTCGATTGTTTAGAATATATATGGTTGGTTAAAATCAACAAAATAATTTTACTATAAAAGTTTAGATTTTAAGGCAGTAAAACAAAATATAAAATTTGTGTTTATCATTAATTATAAAGTCGAAAAGCTATACTCTTACACAAAAGTTAATTAAGTATAATGAAATTTTTGCACTATACACAATATAATTTGCAGCGCGTAGAACCTCTACAATATCCATATTTCTTTTTCTTTATAACTCAACATAATAAATAAAAAATCCGGCATATATATATATATATATATATATATATATATATATATATATATATATATATATATATATATACATATATATATATATATATATATATATGTATATATATATATATATATATATATATATATATATATATATATATATATATATATATATATATATACATATATATATATATATATATATATATATATATATATATATATATATATATATATATATATATACATATATATATATATATATATATATATATATATATATATATATATATATATATATATATATATATATATATATATATATATATATATATATATATATATATATATATATATATATATATATATATATATATTAACGAAGAAAAAACAACTCTCAATGGCTGATTAAAATTCAATGGCTGATGGTTGCCGTAAAGGCATGAAGCTTAAAATACCATAGAAAAAGAAATTTTTTCTTCGTTAATATATATTTGAGTAATGTCAAACTACTGATTTGCAAACTTACCAAAAATACTTTTAGGTTGATTTAAAATCAAACCAAACACTTTCAAACGATCAAACGATAATCATTTTATTTTGTGGTACTTTAGAGGTTCTTTTTAATATGCGACGAGTTAACTCGCTGCAAGTTCTTCTCTCAATACAGAAGCTTCTTTCAAAGTTAATGGATGAAAAGAACTTGGAGAAAAGATCGTGATTTGCATTTTTTTGAATGCATTTATTTGTGTTTCGCTATATTCCACACAAGTTTATTCGACCATAAATAAAAGAATACAATCTATAGTATTAGGACATAAAGCTTAAAACCATGCTTTAGCGTATTTAATAATTAAGGGGTTTTATAATTTACATTACCTAATATGTAAAAAAATTAAATAATAAAAAATTTTTAAAATTTTTTTAAACAAACAACTTCATTAACTTAATTTTAACGAAAAACAAAAATTGGACAAGTTTTTTTTTTCATTATATTTTAACAACAAATTTAAAAAGTTATTTTAAACATCTTCCAAACGATATTATTAATAAATAGAGCATAGATAAGTGTACAGATGTTAAAATAATGAAAATAATAAAACAATTGACAAACATTAATAAAATTATTAATATCTAATTATTTAATAAAATTTTGAGCTAATTGATAAAATATTATAATCCATTCAAACTATTCAAGGTTTTAAAGGAAAAAGTACTTATAAAATTACTACTCAATTTAAATACAATTTCCGATAAAAATATAGGAAAAACGTTTCACGAGTTAACAAAAGAATTTTGTATTCGAAAAAGATTTAAACCATTCAAAATAATCAATAAAAATCTCAAAGAAAAGGAGGAAAAAAAAGAAAAAGATAAAAAGTAAAAATTATCTATTAAAAAAAAAGAAGAATTTGATTAAATCTAATTTTTATTTAAATTATTTATTTTGTATCTTATTTTATTAAATTATTTTATTTTATTACTATTATACATTATTTATATATATATATATATTATTGTAAAATATATTACTATTATACTTAATTTAGTTATTAATAAATTATTTTTACTTTTTATTAATTTTTGTTTTATGTTATTTCTGTTTTCGTTTATAATATATTTATAGTATTAGATATAATTTTAATCCAATTTTCTATTTAATAGGCTGTGTTTATCGCCATCCTAACATGGATATTAATGAATTTATTGTTTCATATCTAGCTATTCTATTTGAAAAACTTGCTGTTGGAAAAAATAAAATTATCTTTATAAGGGTGATTTTAATATAGATTTTATAAAAGCGAACTCAGATAATTCAATCTCGGAGTATTTGAACACCCATTGCTTCAAACAACTTTTTTCCTTTTATATCTTTACCGACAAGAACTACCAATCATTCAAGCACTTTAATTGTATAATAATAATATATTTTCTAATTCAACTTCTAAAAATATTTTTTAGTCAATCTAACTATTAGAATATCGGATCATTTGCCACAGTTTCTAATTTATTTATCTTTTAAAAAAAGAAATAATTCTTGTAAAAGCAATATTCTTCTTCGAAAATTCAAAAAAAAAAATAGTGGAAATTTTAGGAACCAAATCATATCCATAAAAAGGACTCAAAATTTGACTGCAATAACTATGCCAATATCATTATTATCAAATATCAGCAAAATTCTTGAAAAATTAATGTATATTTGTATCTACCACTTTCTTGATAATTATGAGTGTTTCTACGGCCGCCTGTTTGGATTTCGTGAAAAATACTTTACTTCCCACGCACTTATTAGCATTACTGAAATGATTCGTAGTGCGATTGATAGTGGTTCTTTTGCTTATGGCGTCTTTACTGATCTCCAAAAAGCATTTGATACAGTTTACCATAAGATTTTAATTGAAAAACTGTATCACTATGGTAAAGGTGTATCGCTAACGATTGGTTTCCATCCTATATTAAAAATCGTACTCAGTTTGTCTCGATAAATGGTTTTCAATCCGCAAGTAAAGTTATTAAGTATGGTGTCCAACATGGATTTGTTCTAGGGCCTTTACTGTTTTTAATATATATTACCGATCTGCCTCACTCTATAAATAATTCGATTGTTCATCATTTCGCTAATGACACTAATCTTCTATGGATAAATAAAAAGTTAATTCAGATCTCCATCATTTGTGTCATTGGTTAAATAGCAACCGTCTTTCACTAAATATCAATAAAACTGAATTTATTATTTTTCACACACCAAAAAAAAGATTGATGGTGATAATGTGAAAATTAAAATTAACGGTATAAGACTTTCCGATCTAAATATACAAAATACCTCAGGCTAATTCTTGACAAAAACTTGTCATGGTACTATCAACTAATTCAATTAAATAAAATACTCTCACGTGCTAATAGTATGTTTTCTTTAATACAACACTATGTTCCCTAACATATTCTAATATCAATTTACTATTCCTTGTTCTCCTCACATTTAAGTTGCACTGCTTGGGGTCAAATAGGTAGTTTTCTATTACATCGTATAAACAGTTTACATCGCACTTCCATAAGAATTATGACATTTTCTCCTTTACGATCTAATATCCAAAATAGGTTTTCTAAATTGAAAATTCTAAAATTTCAAGATCTTGTAAAGCTTTATGATTGTCTCTTTGTGTTTGATTTTCTTCAAAATAATCAACCAATTCGTTTAATAATTTTTTTATGACACACACAAATATTACACATTTATTACCAACATTCTTCTTCATAATCAAAACCAAATTAAGAAATTTTAATTTGGTTAAATATTTAATGAATATTAATTTTATCTTTTATTATTATTGCTTTTTTATATTACTGTATTTATAAAACCATTATTACATTTATTTTATACTGTTTTTTTATTTTTTTTTAACTCTGTTACTAATATTACTATTATCATTAATTTCTCTTTGTTTTAGAAATCTTATTAATATTATTTATAATGATAGTGATAATGATTCCATTGTAGTAATAGTTTTATGGTTATTGTCCTTTTTTGGAATTGTTATGTTTATTTTAATAATTTCTGTCATAGTTATAAACTTTACTATAACTATTTTCATATTTTAATGGTTAAATAGATGGATTTTAAAAAATTATAATTACTTACATATTCCTTTTTTTTTGGTTAATGATATATTACCTATTATTCTATTGCTTTATTATTATGACTATTATTAAATATTAGTTTGTTTATTAATACTGCTTAATTTACGGCAAATATTAATATTATTAATTGTTATAATTGTTGCTATTATGATTACTATTTATAACATTGTATCGTTATTATTCTTTTATTGTTATTTTCATTGTTATTTTCTTTTCATTTCCTTTAAAACTTAACAATTTCAAGCTTTCTTCTAAAATATTTTTCTTTTGTCTTTCTCATTAGTTTTACTATGACCTCTAATTTTCGGGAAGTATGCACTGCATGTATAACTAAGTATACACTGCATGTACAAAAAAAGTTAGTATGAGTTGCCGTACAACTCAATGTGGTGTATGTTTATTTTGGACTCATTCAAAATGTAGCAGGCTTTATGATCATGGGTACAGTTTAACACAACCAAAATGCTCAACATGCCTGTCTTTAAATTGTACTAAAGATGTCTTTTCATTGACTGATGTATCTGATAATGAATTTAAACTACTCTTCTCTTCAAGTAAAATTGTTATAACTGACGACTTGCCTTTATCAACTAAACTATTTTCAGCATTGGGATTGAATAAAATCTATACTCAATTTGATAAATTTATTACATCACATGATTCAGTTTCTGATGAGGAAAACTGTTAATCTTTTGATGTAGATTGTCAATATTATGACATTAATAAATTTTGTTCTCATAACTTTGACATCATAAACTCTATATCCTGTTTTTATTTAAACATTTTTTTTTCGTTGATTTTTACGGAAAATAGAAACTACGGAAACCGTTAATTTTTACGGAGAAAGTGCTGTCACTTTGCTGCCGGACAATCTCCGTAGAATTTACGGCGAATTTTTTAACAGTGTACCAACGAGAGTTACTGACCATTTTGCGACAATCATTGACAATATCTTTTGAAATGTAGTTAATAACCAAATTGTTTCAGGAAATCTAACAACTTCTTTTTCTAATCACCTACCTCAATTTCTTATTTGTACTAATTTCAACAAATTATTTATACCACCCAATCATAATTTATAACGAAGAATCTTTAAAAATTATAATAAAGAATCGTTTAAGTCGGAATTTCAAAAAGTTGATTGGAATGACATTACCAATAAAAATGATGTTAACTCCTGTTTTGAAGCTTTTTTTTGTCAAACAATATTGTTGTTAGATAGTTATGCGCCATTCAAAAAATTAGTATTAAGAGCTACAACCGTCAATTCAAGACATGGATTACTAAAATCAATTTAAATTCGAAATCTTATTCAAGGGAAAATGTTAAGGATAAAAGATCCAATAAATATAATTAAACTAAAAACTTTAAACGCTATAAATATACCATAATTAATCTAATAAACTTAGTAAAAAAATACATTTCAAAAAATTCTTTACAGAAAATGTAAAAAATCTTCGTGAAACCTGGAAAGGCATAAAAGTCTAATAAATGTGAAAAATGTCAATAATGTACCTCCAAATTGCTTACAAGTTAACGAAACATACATAACTGAGCCAACTCTAATCTGCAAAGAATTCAACAACTTTTTTCTTAAGCATCCAAATCTTCATAGTTTACTAATATCTCCAACAAACCATTCTGAAATCTCATCACATATATCTAAATTAAAATCTAGAAAATCAATAGGTCAGAACAGGTTCCCAACAAACATTCTTATTGATTCTTAAATGGAATTTTTCCCGAAATTTTGAAATTATCTTGTGTCATTCCAGTATATAAAAATGGCTCCAAACTCTCATGTTTTAACTATAGACCAATTTCAATTCTATCTAACATAAGCAAGTTTCTTGAAAAAGTAATGTATTCTAAATTATACTCATTTTTAAGTTCCTTTGATTGTTTAAATGAGTTTCAGTTTGGATTTCGATCAAAATACTCTACTTGCCACTCTTTAATAAGCATAACCGAAAAAATAAAAAAGGCGCTGGATACTGGCCATTTCGTTGGTGTTGTTTTTTAAACTTACAAAAAGCTTTCGATAATGTTAATCATGCCATTTTAATTTCTAAACTTGAACATTACGGAATCCGAGGAGTTCCTTGTAATTGGTTTCAATCTTATCTCTCAAATCGGAAGCAGTTTGTTACCATTAATGGTT